ATTTATAATGTTGTGTTAGTTTCAGGTGTATAGGAAAGTGATATAGTTTTACATACACATATTTCTATTCTTTTTCAAATTCTTTTACCATATAGGTTATTACCGAGTACTGAGTAGAGTTCCGGGTTCCCACCTATACTGTGGGTCCTGGTTGGTTATCTCAGTTTTCTTGACTAAGGTCATTTTATTGAGTATTACCTTGAATAGGCAAAGTGTCTGACCAGCGGATTAGAAACTGCTTTATTTCAGTATATGACTCAGGAGATCTGATCTCTTAGCAAGCAGATACACTAATGATAGTTTCCAATAACAACAATCCCAAAATATTCACCATACCATTTTTTGGGGGGTAGTATTCTGGGCATTTTACCACAGTGACTGTTCTAACATAACAGTTTAAAAACAAGTTTCTATTTTGTACTTGTATTTATGTGAGTTGGGGTTTCAAAATATTCTGATATAAAAACCAAGAGGAGAAATCACCTGGAAGTTGAGTATATGTGGTGTCAGGTCTCTTCAATTTATCCCAGTTTCCTGAACTCCATAGGTTAATGCAACCAAACTGTGTCCAGTAGCTATTGAGACAGATTAGAAACTCCTCTCTGGTGGTAGCTGATGTGAAACAGTTTAATGACAAGATAACACAGTCACAGTATGGAATAGAGGGAACATTTTTGCAAGAATTGTCAAGGAAAAATTCAAGACTTCAAAACAAATATGTGTACTTGGGAAGAGAAGAAGTTTTCTTTGGCCATATTCTGAGACCCTGGAATATGCATTCACTTTCCTCTGCATTTTTTTTTGACTGCATCGCCTGGGATTTTAGTTTCCTGAAAGTGAAAGTGAAGTCGTGTCCGACTCTTTGCAACCCCGTGGACCAACCAGGCTCCTCCGTCCATGGGATTCTCCAGGCAATAATACTGGAGTGGGTTGCCATTTCCTTCTCCAGGGGATCTTCCCAACCCAGGGATCGAACAGAGGTCTCCCACATTGCAGGCAGACACTGTAACCTCTGAGCCACCAGGGAAGCCCTCCAACTTATGAGAACTCAGTGTTAAATCCCCTGCTCTGAACCAGGAAGTGGGCTCTCACAGAAACTTTCAGCACCTTGATCTTTTACTTCCCAGTCTCCAGAGCTATGAGAAATACATTTCTATTTATAAGCCTCCCAGTCTATGGTATTCTGTCATGGTACTAAGACAAACGCCATCTTGAATGTTGATGGTTTCCATGTCAGAGGGAAAGAGAATCTGAGGAGTCTCAAAGCAGTGATTAAATGCTTAAGGCATGAAGGGACACATAACCTTTTTGCTCAAACTCATTGGCCACACCCACTGGTAAGAGAGCCAGGAAATAAAATCCTACCATGCACCCAGAAGGCAGAAGGCCAGAAATATTTAGTGAGGAGCATTGATTGTCTATCACTCACTGTGTGCCAAGAGCTATTCAAAGTATACTACAGGCATTATCTCAGTTAAGCTTCACAAAAATCCTGTGAAAGAGGTGTTTAATATCACTGTCGTTCACAGTTTGTAGATGAAACAACCGAGGCACAGAGAGGTTAGGTTACCTGGTGGAAGTCATATATATAGTAAGCGGTAAAGCTCAGGATTTAAACCCAGTCATTCTGGTCCCATAATCTATGTGCTTAACTACTAGACTAGACAATCTCTCTCAAGATGGGAAATTTTGAGAAGCGGTGCCATAAGTCATGGAGAGGCGCTAAAGGGTTTTTTTTTTTTTCCACTTTTAATCATCATTTATTAATTTTAGACATTCTCTCTTTACTTCCTTCGGATCATGATTTAGCTTTCTTGCGTCATCGTTCCCTCCTTCCATTCTCACTAAAGGGTTTTTAAGCAGGAGACAGTCAACCAGATTTGCCATTCGGAAAGCTCTCTCCATAGAGTCAGCCTGCTTATTTAACTTATATGCAGAGTACATCAAGCGAAATGCCAGACTGGATGAATCACAAGTTGGAATCAAGACTGCTAGGAGAAATCTCACCAACCTCAGATATGCAGATGATACCACTCTAATGGCAGAAAGTGAAGAGGAAGTAAAGAGCCTCTTAAGGGTAAAAGAGGAGAGAGAAAAAGCTGGCTTAAAACTCAACATTCAAAAAACTAAGATCATGGCATTCGGTCCCATCACTTCATGGCAAATAGAAGCGGGAAAGTAGAAGCAGTAACAGATTTTCTTTTCTTGGGCTGCAGTCCATAGAGTCACAAAGAGTGGTCATGACTTAGTGACTGAACAACAACTACTCCAAAGAGTACAGTGAAGGATCAAATTAACTAAAATGCTGCTGCTAAGTCACTTCAGTCATGTCCGACTCTGTGCGACCCCATAGACGGCAGCCCACCAGGCTCCCCCATCCCTGGGACTCTCCAGGCAAGAATACTGGACTGCGTTGACTAAAATGAGACTAAAGCAAAAAGTCAATTTGCATAGCGTTGGGATGAAGATGAGAATTTGAACTAAGGCACAGTGATCACGATTTACTGGGTAAGCCTGAGCCTTTCTTTCATCCATTTGAGACTGTGTTTCATCATTTTTTTGAAAAATTGTTATGTTAATATTATTACCTATCCTGTTGGGGCTTTCTCTGGATTATGATAGATAACATAAGCAAAAACTCTGACAGTATTAAGGCTGTGGGATCACAGAGATCTAGGTTAAAAATTCCAGCTCTACTACTCCCTAGATGAAGGAGTTTATTATTCTAAGTCTCAGTTCGCTCATTAGTAAAATAAGTGTTAAAATAAGAAAATCTAAGTAAGTTAATGGAAGAAAAATGATTACAAATGGGACATAGGTTGAGAATATTAGTTTCAGAGGAAGGCAGAATTTCTTCTAGGAAATTTATTTAGGAAAAATACCTTAATGAACTTATGTGTTTATGAAAGTCAAATCTCCTTAGTGGTTTAGAAGGAAAGACGTTTAGACAGAGAATCAGATTGTTTTGATTAATACAGTAGTAGAAAATTTTAGTTTTTTTCTGATGAAAGTTTTGCTTTGAAAGGAAAGTGATGAGATGGTATGGTAGTTTAGTCACTAAGTTATGTCTGACTCTTGCAACCCCATGGACTGTAGCCCACCCATGGGCTTTCCTGGGATTTCCTGGGCAAGAATATTGGAGTGGGTTGCTATTTCCTTCTCCAGGGAATCTTCCCAACCCAGGGATTGAAACTGTGTCTCCTGGATTGCAAGTGGATTCTTTACCGATGAGCCATCAGGGAAGCAGAGATGGAGGAGAGTTTGATTAGAGATAATTCTGAACATCTGGTCTTACCAGCTTCCCAAATCCACTCTTCCCATAGCAACCAGACTGACCTCTTAAAACCATTAATTGAATCACATTGTTCCCTCTCACCCCACCCCAGGACAGTGCCTCATACTTAGAAGTTTCTCAGTAACAATTTATTAGGTGATTGAAAGAATGAATGAGTGAATGAAAACATTTGCCAGATGGCAGATGGGTCCCTAAAGAAAAGGACAGCCACTGAGAAATTTTGTACTTACTCCACTCTGTAGTAAGGATGGTTATAGGCAATGATGCTTAATAATCATTTTAATTAGTTATCTATTCTTGTGTTTTACTGTAATCACCCCTCCTCTTCACCTCACCTCTCCAAATAACTTTCAATAAAGGTCTTCTGCACAAAACTCCACATTTTTGGAGAACTGAGGAATTAAACAAGAAAGTGTTTAAGCAAAACAATGTCCAAAGATGTCAATAATCATAAGAGGAGACCTAATGAACAGAGAAACCCAGAATTCAGAAGGAGCAGGCATACCAAGAAAGAGGTAACCAGAATCCTCTGAAAATTTGGGGGAGGTTGTGACTGATGTTCCCTTATTCTGTGTTAGGAGGTTGTTGCTATTCAGTCACTACATGGTGTCCGACTCTTTGTGACCCCATGGGCTGCAGCACGCCAAGTTTCCCTTTCACCATCTCCAGGAGTTTGCTCGAACTCATGGCCAACGAGTTGGTGATGCCATTCAACCATCTCATCCTCCGTCACTCCCTTCTCCTCCTGCCCTCAATCTTACCCAGCATCAGGATCTTTTCCAATAAGTCAGCTCTTTGCATCACGTGACCGAAGTATTGGAGCTTCAGCTTCATGACATCAGTCCTTCCAACGAATATTCAGGGTTGATTTCCTTTAAGATTGACTGGTTTGACCTCCTCGCTGTTCAAGGGACTCTCAAGAGTCTTATCCAGCGCCACAGTTGGAAAGCATCAATTCTTCGGCTCTCAGCCTTTTTTATGGTCCAACTCTCACATCCATAATGACTATTGGAAAAACCATAGCTTTGGCTATACGGAACTTTGTTAAGAGGTTTAGAAGGTAGTGAAGTCTCTCAGTCGTGTCCGACTCTTTGCGACCCCATGGACTGTAGCCCACCAGGCTCCTCCATCCATGGAATTTTCTAGGCAAGAGTACTGGAGTGGGTTGCCATTTCCTTCTCCAGGGAATCGGATCTTCCCGACCCAGGGATCGAACCCGAGTCTCCCGCATTGAGGGCAGACGCTTTACCGTCTGAGCCACCAAAGAAGGTAGGACCCTTCTACTTGGCTGTTGAAGGAAAGAATAAGCTTTGGAGCATTCACAACCCAAAGATTACATAAGGATGGTAAAATTTTAACTCATAGAGAGGTTTGGGGGATTATATTGGGGTCATTCATACAAAGCGCTCGGCACAGTGCCTGGCACATAGTAAGAGCTCAGTTATTTGTTGTTTCCCTTCACTTTCCTCCACTCCCTCCACCCGCTCTCCGCCTGCTCCATTCATTCTTTTCCAAGGACTTGCAGGGGGCGTGCCCAATCCTCTCTCCGCCCCATCCAAGCCCCACCCCTCACTTCTGCCCGGATTGGTTCTTGAGAAGCGGAGCGGAGGGAAGAGCCCAGTCCGGAGCGGTGGGGGCGGGGCGCATGCGCGGGCTGGGCTGGGTGGAGGAGGAGAGGAAGAGCTGCCGGAAGTAGGCGGCTGAGGTGGTGGTAGAGCAGGCGGCAGCTGCCAGGGAAACCGAGGCGCGGGAGCCGTAGCCCGCTGACAGGCAGACCCGGGGTCGTCTCTGCGCCCGGCAAAAGCAGGAGGCCCGAGAGTCCCTGTTGCCTGGGCCGAGGGTCCCTGTCTAGTCCGGCTGCCTCGTTGGGACCCGGGCCTTTCCCTTAGCCCGCCAGGGGGCGCCGCTCTGAGGGGGCTGCAGAGTTGGGGGGCGGGCGCGGCTGACTGGAGAAGGGGCACTGGACTGGGCAAGGGGAGAGGGCTCCCTCGTTCTCAAGAGGTGCCCTGGGCCGGGGACCGGGAGTCCTCACCTCCGGACTGAGGCAGGGGTTTCTGGGGGCTAGGAGGGCGCGTCGCCCTCTGCCCCCGCCGGCACCCTGGCTATGACGGGCAAATCGGTGAAGGACGTGGATCGGTACCAGGCGGTCCTGGCCAACCTGCTGCTGGAGGAGGATAACAAGTTTTGTGCGGACTGCCAGTCTAAAGGTAGCGCATCCTTCCCAGCGGGCGAGGGGTCCAGCCTCCGGGCGACACGGGGGAGGCGACCTGTGTGGGAACGGGGGGGTCTCTAGAGCTTAGGGGGCCCCGATCGTCTAAATGGTAACGCGTGCTACCCTTGTTGAGGAGGCTGCTAGGTGTTCTGGGGCGCCGGGATTGGTGTGGGGAGAGGTTGCGAGGGCGAGTGTGTGTGTTGAGGCTGGGGTGGGGGGCGGGGCGGGGATGGTCGGGGTTGGGGGAAGTGGCATGGTGTGTGTGGGTGAGAATGTCTATATTTCAGGGCTCTGAATGAGTTCTGCGCCGACTGTCGCTGCATCTCGCAGCCTTCCACTTGGAGAGCTGGGGGGTGAACTGCAGCGGGGCGCGGAGGGGGTGGGGAGGAGAGGGAAGTGAGATGACGGGGAGGAAAACTGCTTAAATGGTTTTTAAAGGTGCTGAGCGTGGCTGCCTGCTATTTGGTTAGCAGTTCCTTCTGTCATTTTACAGCCTTGCTGAGATGTGACAGAGTGCTTAGGTGGCTTTCCTCTTCCAGGATGTGTGGAGGGGGAAGCTGGCTTATGCAGTGACACAGTGCGGATTTCTAGACAGCCTAGCCCTGGCTTGTGGAGTGTGTTGGAGGCCTGATGAGTGTGTGGTGGCAGGAACTAGCAGATTATGGCTGTAGTGCAGGGTCGGTTTAATCAGTGCAGAGAAGGGAACAAGGGCTGCATCGAATTTGTTACTTGCATGGTGCTCATCCTTCTAAAGGTGAAATACGATCATGGCAGAGCTGTTTAGTCTTTGTTTTCTGTGTCCTCAAAGATTCATGATTTGATACAGTTACAAATCAGTATGCTACCAAAGCTTGGTTATTAGTGAAATATTTGCACTTGAAATTGATAGATTACAAATATTTTGTTTCCTTATTTTCTTTCTGAATTCTTTGGAATATAAATTGGAGTTGGGAAAATTCCTTTTTTGGTTTGGGAGCTATTGCTAATTTACTTTTGTTCATAACGCAGTGAATTTACCTGGATTGTTTGCCATATAGCATGTTGGGCATATAGTACACAACAAAGATTCGAATGTATTTGTCTTTATCAGTATTGAGAAAGGAATTACATGCTTAATTGATACTTTCACTTAGTTACCTTTTATTTTGAAGAAGTAAGATTATGTAAGGAGATGGGCAGAGAGACATTGGACACCTAGTAGTATATTTTAGTGTCCTTTACCAATGGGTAAAAGGCATGTGGCATTAGGAAAGCAGATCCCCCGCCTTCTTTCCTGAATTTTTGCATTGGCAAGAATTCATTTTAAAAAGTATTATAGAATCAGTTTATGTTGAGTAGGTTAATTTCTTATAGTTGACTCTCGTGAGGTCTTCTGCTAGCTCTCTGGGAAGATTTGGCTTAAAGTTTGGGAGTATATCTCTTTGACTTGACTCAAATTCCCTGTGTCCTCAGTTGACAGATCTTGAGTCACAGTGAAGCAACCCTCCGAGTGAGCACTGCTCCGTTTGGGGAGTCAGATACCATTTTGATAATCGGTACCACCCCCATCCCCCATTTCCCATACCACTCTTGTACTTACTCATATTCCAACAAAACATAGCACATGGAAGAGAGGTTGATTCATCACCTCCAAATTTTCTGTTGCTCTTTATCGACAGAATTACTGGGGATCAGGTAATAAAACATTAGTCAGTTCATTCTTAATGAGAAATGGTAACTGCTGGCCTGTAAACTTTATTAACTGCTCTTGATAGTAGAATCCTGGGTCCTGAGATGATTTCTTTTCACGAATTAGCTTTACATTTTGGCTTGGTGGCTTCAGTGACTTGGCCATTCTATTAAAAATGAGATGACAATGTGTCAGTCAGTCATCGTTCAGTTCAGGTCAATGAGATATTTGTGGCCTCAGTTTTTGCAGTTTGTGAATTAGCTAGCCCCTTCTACTCTTTGAACTCCTCCCATTCATTTTCCCTCTCCTTTTTCCTGATTGTGGTTGTCATAATGGTCATGTGGACAAATGTCAGATCGTGGAAGGAAGAGACACTTGAATCCGTAGATTAAGTTATCTCTTAGCTCTGGTAAAAAACACATTTAGTGGGAGGAGGAATTTTAAAGCTGCATGCTAAAATGAGGTTTGTACTTGGGTATTTATCTGTAGGTCTCATGTCCTTTCTTATTGAGAAAATTGAGAGCTTAATTGTATAGGACCTGGTGAGTGATTGCTTACTAATCCATTAACATAAAATCAGATGATGTAACCCTGAACTGCAGACCTATGAACAGGTATTTTTGTAATGTTTCAAAATAACTCTGGCAGTAATTCTTTTTTTTTTTTTGGCAGTAATTCTTAAAAAAGAATCTTATACTGATTTAAGAATAATATTATAAGATACATAATTTGAATATCAGAATAGAGAATAAACATGTGTTCTCTTTGTGTAGTATAAGTTTTGTTGGTTCTGGGATTTTTGTTTTTGTTTTTAACTCTCTTGAGCATGAGACTCACAAGTTTCCAGTACCTCTAAGGCATTGAAATAATTTATGTGGGAATGGAGGCTACTTTGGTACTGCCTTTAAAACAAATGCTTCAACTTGCTTTAGGCTGAAAGATGTGGTTTCATCACCCAAAGCCTTTAACTTACTGTGACCTTTAGGGTAAAATTTGGGGCTGACTGAAGTTGTGGTAGAAGAGAGGACAAACATACTGAACATTTCAGATATGTTAATGGTTAACTCCACCTTGTTGAGGCCAGGTCCCATTTTTGGAGGTTTAGTCTGTAGCTCTGCAGTTCCATATTTTATCTGTATGCCTGGAATAACTCCTAATCAGCCTCTTCAGAGAGTGGTTTAAGCTGGACACTATCCTATTTACCATGAAAGGATCTACCTTTCTGATGACCTGCATACTTAGGTCCAGTGTTGGGATGTTCCTTTCTCGGTATCAAGGTTCGTGAAAAATTGAGAGCTGTTTAATGAGCAAAGAATTAGAATGGAAGAAATTTGATGGTCTTGAGGAATATTTACTTTCAACTGTGAAATACCACATAGAATTCTGGAGTCTGACAAAAACTTTGTAATACCTTTTTACTTCTCTGTTCTTCTAATCCCCATCTCAGAAATGTTTCACTTCAAATCTCCTGGCCACTGCCTTTGTTCCAACTCCCATTACGTGTTCTTAAATTCAAATTTCCTTTCTGAAAAACCACTTTCATGTGGTTCAAAATTCAGAAAGTTCAAAAGGGAATATATTCAGTGAAAAGTTGTGTTCCTGTCCCTGACCCCTTAACCAACTTTTCCCAGTGCTTCTGGAGGTAACCCCTGCTGTTATATGACTTTTAAGAGATGATACATACATAGATAACTTCATTTAAGTATATTCCTTTTCAGTGCTTTTATGCAAATAATAGCATGTTACCCAAAGTCCATGGCACCCTGTGTTCTTTTTCTTCTTTAATATTTACTTTTTTTTTTTTTTTTGGCTGCATCAGGTCTTAGTTGCAGCCCTCGGATCTTTCATTGTGGTGCTTGGGCTGAGTAGCTGCAGCGGGTCCAGTAGTTGGAACACATAGGTTTTAGTTGCCCTGCAGCATATGGGGTCTTTGTTCCCTGGCCAGGGATTGAACCTGCATCCCTGCACTAGCAGACAGATTTTTAATCACTGGACCACCAGGGAAGTCCCATCCTTTCACATTTTCAGTCAAGTGTATAACATGAAGGGCATGGAGATTCCCTCTCCACACACAGTAAGGAGTGTTTGTTCTCTCAGGGTATAAAGCTGAAAGATATGCATGATTTGGAAACATCTGCTCTCATTTAAGTCATCTTTGACAGTGCCCTAGCCCCCATCCATAGCACATGTAAGCTCACCTTTCAGGTTCAAAGAATCAGAGCTGTAGACTTTTAAAAATATGTATTTATTTATTTATTTTTGACCTCCTCAGGTCTTAGTTGCCCCAAGGCATGTGGAATCTTAGTTCTCCAACAAGGGGTCACTCCCACATCCCCTGCATTGGAAGACAGATTCTTCCAATGGAAGGACTTCCAATGGGTCACTGGACCTCCAAGGAAGTCCCAGAGCTGTAGACTTTTGTTGGAAAGTGAAAGTCACGTCTGACTCTTTGTGACCCCACAGTCTATACAGTCCATGGAATTCTCCAGGCTAGAATACTGGAGTGGGTAGCCTTTCCCTTCTCCAGGGGAATCTTCCCAACCCAGGGATCAAACCAAGGTCTCCCGCATTGTAGGCAGATTCTTTACCAGCTGAGCCACAAGGGAAACACAAGAATACTGGAGTGGGTAGCCTATCCCGAATCCAGGAGATCTTCCTGACCAAGGAATCGAACTGGGGTCTCCTACATTGCAGGCAGATTCTTTATCAACTGAGCTATCAGGGAAGCCCTTTGATGTTGGAACATCCAGTTAAAGTCTATTATTCTGCTTATTTTAGCTTTGGGATCTTCAGCATACCACCTGACTTTCTCAGTTTAGTTTTCCTCATTTGAAAAATAAAAATACCTTGTAAACTAAAGTGTTACACACATGTAAGCACTATTTATCATTACTATTGCTGAATTCATTTATTTCATCTTAATTTTATTCATTCATTCCACTTTCAGACTTTATTCCCTTAAATACCCTAGTTACTGGAAGCCACAGTTAGAATGACTCACTGAATAACTCACTGAATAATAAAATGCACCTAGTTTTTAAGCCCAAACCATCTCCTGTATATGGGTTTTTAGCATTTTTGCAAATGTACTTTATGTACTCTTGGTGATGGTCCCTGGATGTTGCTTGACACTTAAAAGTTGTATGAAAGATTAGACCAGGATATCTTTGTGTAGACATTTTTAAAATATTAGTCCTAAATTCTAACTGTGGTAAATTCATCTCTAGTTTTGCTTTACTTTTGTTTTCTGTCAATAGCTAAATCATTGCTTGTTGAATATCATTCCTTAGAATATGACCATTGTTATCAGTTTTTAATTATTTTAG